TATGAGGGGATACTTTATTATTTCAGATTGCCTTTTATTTTAATTGATAAAGTGATTTACCATTCCTTTTGTTCTCACAAATAAACATACGTTTTTATTTTTAAAATCATTTATTTATCTGAAGAGATTTATGAGGGAATGGTTGGTGGCAGCGTGAATAAAGTGTGTGTATGTGAGAGTGACGTGACAGCTCCTCTGTGACGTGTGAGGAGGCTGTCACAGTGGGCGATTGGGAAGGAGCATGGGGGAGCCCCCCTATGCTCCTTCCCAAGCAACCACTGGTCAGCGAATGCGGGCGGGGGGTTTGGGAGCACCGCGGGGGAGCCCCCCCCCACAGTCCTCCCAAAGGCCCCATTTTCGCACAGCTGATCGGCGGTTCCAAAATGGCTGCCAGCTGCCCTGCAGCATTTTCACGCCAATTCCTCGCTTACCGAGGTGGTGAAAATGGCGGCCCTATGGAGGATTCCCGCTTAGTGGTGAGTTTACCCCCCATAGGAATGCATTAAAAGTGTTTTAATTTCATTTCTATGGGTTTTTTTGCCCCGCATAGCGAGGAATCCGGATAGCGACGTTTTTCCTGGAATGGATTAACGTCGCTATGTGGGGCACCACTGTATTGTTAGGATTTTTCAGTGTGACCACCTCAGCCATTTCTGTTACCTCAGAGTTTTCCTCTAAACTGGGGCATCCCAGGTTTGATTCAGAGGTTACAGATTCCATTTTTCTCTCAGGGATTGTTAACTGTTCTCCCTGGAACAATTCAGAGGTTACAGATTCCATTTTTCTCTCTGGGATTGTTAACTGCTCTCCCTGGAACAGGTTACTACAAAAGCACTCTGCACATGCTTAGTGGGATCTAATCTGATCAAACAAGGGTGCTGGAATTTGATCAGAAATTACTACATCCCAAATTCCAATTCAGTCTCTATAGTTTATCTTTAGCCATAGGTAAAATCACTGGCATAGAACTTATTCCCTTGATTGTAACAGTTTGATTTGGAAGTATTTGCTCTTTAGGAACCACATCAGGATGACACAGGGTTATGTGGGAACAGGAATCAACAACCTCCACATAAGACTTCTCCTTAATAAGGATTTTCTCACCAGGGTTCTGTAGTAAAATATTACAGTGGTGCCTCGCTAGACGATGATAATCCGTTCCACTGAAATCGCTGTTTAGCGAAATTGTCTAGCAAAAAGCATTTCCCCATTGGAATGCATTGAAACCTGTTTAATGCGTTCCAATGGGGAAGAATCGTCGTTCTCTAGCAAAGATCGGCCATAGGAAAGCCGCTATGTGAACTGCCGATCAGTTATTTAAATAGCTGTCTTGCGAAGCTTAGGTCCCGAAAACATCCGTTTTGCTAGCACAGAGGGAGCTGTCAAAATAATTGAATTTTGGATGGGAGGGGGAGAGGTAGAAGGACCCCCCTCTCCTCCTGTCTTTTCCTCACCCACTCCTTCAGTGGCAGCTGCCCAGCAATCTGCCATGCCCACCCAGACCACGTGGAGCCCAGAAAGGCAGTGCGAGTGGAACACCACCCTCCAAACCAGTCAGGAGCAAGCAACACCCAAGCGCATCGATAGGAAGACAAGCACCCGGACTGTGTGTGTGTGTGTGTGCAAAGTCCCTTTCAGGGACTCCAGCTCCCACACTTCCCAGCGTTGAACCTATGAGGGAGGGGAGGCTGCCTTATTTGGTTTTGCCCAACGTCGCTTTCCCCCCGCCTGAGCCGGAGCCTTGTTTGGGTGTCCAGATTAGCAAGGTTGCCTCTAAGCCTGTGCAGAGTGTGAGTGGCCAGGGGATCCCGCAACTGGGCTGGGGTGAGTTTGGGTACAATTTATTGTTTAAATTATGTTTTATGGTATTTTGAGAAAAAGTCTCCATTGAATTTATTTTTATTTTTTAACACGACTGTTTCTTGGTCGGTTCACTAAGAGACATTTATTGGCAGCTATTGTAAAAAAATTGAATTGGTTGTGGAACAATTCAAATGAAACATTCAGTAAGTCCTCCTTTGTCCTCTTTTTTGTTTTTCTATGTCCTTCTTTTGGTACCCATGTATCTGGCATCCCTACTTCAGTGGCTTCCACTGGTTTTATACAGTAAACTTTTTCGGTCTGACTCATTGTTTCCATTTTTATTTTTATTGTTTTTCATACAATTTAATTATATATGCCCAAACTTGCTGCACTTATAACACTGTCTATAAGTCTTTCGATCATACTGAGGAGATCTGTCAAACTTTTCCTCAGGGTTCATTTGCTTCTGTGGACTAGGCCCAGGCAATTTAGGAGAGATACTCCCTCTGCCTCAAACTCCAAATTCCTTCTCCAAACTATCTCTCTGACAGAACTAACTTCTCTCTCAGGCTCTGCCTCTTCAGCACCCTCTTTGGCTACATTAACATACAACTTATGAATAGAATAATGTGTAACACAGGGTGGACGCCACAAGGGCAATGCTGTCCTGTTGATCAAGAGCTGTTACTAGGACCAAATGAGGTGACCTTGCTCATATGGGGGGAATGGAGGAGCCATTCTAGATGTTTTATCTTCGGTTTTTAATGCTGTTCTGCTTTCTGCTCACTTTAGTGCAGTTGTTGTTTTATTATTTACTGTTTAGGATTTTTGTTGTCTTGTTTTATTTCAGTCTTTACCAAATCTTATGAAGTGTTTTTTTCTTAAGCATTGGGTATAAATTTGCAAATAAATAAAATAAATGATTATACATATGCATACACTATAAAATATAATCTGATTCAAGGGGCTCCAATATGTTATTTATTGTGTGAAATGAAAAGAACAATCTGACAAAGTAAAACTCAACTCACATGTATCAGTAAGACATTAAAGCTACAGACAATAATGTGTGGCAAGAGCACTTGCTTACTGATAGCTCCTCAACCTTAAAACAACTACTGACTCACATCAGGCCACACCACGTGGATACAAAGACAGGAACAAGACTCTGCTACAACCCTAGATCTCCGTTGTCTCCTCGCATCTACTCTGACAGTACCATCACAGGTTACAACTGTCATCCATCATGGGCTCATTTACTTGCTCATCTGCTAACATGATATATGCCCCCCTTTGCCAGCATCCCCCTCTTTATTCCACACAGGGCAAACAGAGTAGTCCTTACTCAAGAGAAGAAATTGACACAAATCTGACGTTGGAAATTGCAATTCACAAAAGTGCTGGTTTCAGAGCACTTTACTCTTGCAGGGCACTCTCACTTATCTAAAAGTGACTACTGGAGGAAAAAGGAATAAAAAATGGAGATTTGACAGGGAGATAGTTGAGGCAGATTACATCCATAAATTGCAGTGTCTGTTTAAATGCTTAAATAAAGGCCAGGATGTTTAACTCACTGTGCCTAAAATCCTCTTAGGAAAAACTTAACACACAAGGGCAGTCTTGCAGGTGGTTTCCCCACACACTGTCCTTTGTCCATCTAGTCACTTGATTTTGCAACCAGCATGTGATTGCCCAAAATACTATCCACCAGAGTGGAGGAGCTCTTTGTGTGAACTTCTGTGTGTGCATGTGCGTGTGCGTGTGTGCGTGTGTGCGTGTGTGCGTGTGTGTGTGCGTGTGTGCACGGGTGCACACACATGCACACGCACACACACACATAGTATATCCCCATGTTCTTAATTGGTACTCTATTTAAATCAGTTAATCCTTCCACCTCTTGACAAAAAGAGACTAAAATATATTCTTACTATACTTTTAAATTTTTATTTAGAAATTTTTATTCAGAATAATTACAGTTTCTGAAAAATGAGTGCTTGAACAATTGATTGCTGTTGTTTAAACAACTTCTCAACAAAATTTGGCTACAGTATTTTAGCCAAAATATGTAATTATGTAACTTAGCTTTACTTATGTTTTCAGTATTTTCAGGTTTTTGATACATTGTCATAACTATTTGTAGAGCAGAAGTGGGTAATGTGTGTCCCACCAGATGTTGTTGGGCTGCAACTCTCTAGCCAACATAGCCACTGCTCAGGAATTCTGGGGATTGTAGCCCAACACATGTTTCCATCCTTGCTTCAGAGATAATAGCTTGAATCCAAACTAAATCAGCTGAACTTAAAGTGCATGACAATCAATGAGCCAAGGTAGTAATGATTGAAATCTCATTGGTTTAAATGGGAAGTAAGATAATTGGGGACTCCCATTGCGATGGTCTGAATGGCTTTTTTTCGCTTTGCGATGATCGGTTCCCTGTTTCACTTACCGATCATCGCAAAGTGATGATTTTTTAACAGCTGATTAGTGGTTCCAAAATGGCCGCTGGGTTAAAAAAATGGCCGGCCGCTGTGTTTAGGGACGGATTCCTCGCTTACCGGGCAGCGAAAATGGCCGCCGTATGGAGGATTTTTGCTTAAAGGTAGGTTTTTAGCTCATAGGAACGCATTAAACAGGTTTTAATGCGTTTCTATGAGCTTTTTAAAATCGCATAGTGACAAAATTGCTTAGCAGCGATTTTTGCTGCACCTATTATCGTTGCTATAGAAGGCGATACACACAATATCACTATAACAAACCGAGTTTTTAAAAAAGCAAACAAACAAGAAGAGTACCATAAAAGCTAGTGTGTATATGTAGGGAAGGGACTTCTGGTGTGATGTTTATGTGATTGAGCACATATGCGTAAGTATCTTGGTGCAGAACCATAACTAGCAATTTTGATATATAGTACATGGCTTTGCTGATGTACTAATTAAGCTTGGCTTATTGGATATTACCATGCACAGGGAGAGAACAGAGGAATGGAGAGGAACACCTGAGTCTGAGTGATGATGGTCATATTGCTTATCCACCAAGCCACCCTGTTGTGTGTTTTCTTCTATCCCAAGGGGAGCAGCACATTCCAGTCAGGTACTGTAATTAAGACACTTCTAGCAACAAATATCAAGGGGTGTGTTTGCTTTCTTCTAGTAGTGAATTTTTGTACTCCGTAAATTTCAGCATCCTGGTGCAAAGCCCTATCACAATCTTATACCAGACTCCACCAGGAGTCCTACAGAGATTTAAAGACCTCCCAGGAATCCCTTTCAGTTTAAAAGTCTCACCCAAGCCAATACAATTTTTAAATTTTGTAATAAACCAAAGCATAACACACACTTCCCTGTTGTCTGTTAACCAAAAGAGGAGCTGTTTCTAGTTTCTGGTTTTGGTTTTTCTTTCTGTTCCTTTTCAGGTTAGAGCTACAATCAAAAGATCCAATTCTTCAACAAGAAGATAGGTTTTCAAAGCAGAGCAGAGCAGATCAACACAGATGACGGCACAGAGCACCAGAAGCAAGAAAGCAGCAAGACCTCACAGACACAGATGACAGCTGACTAGTTCAACACCAGCACCTGAGATCAGCTGGTGAACTTTTTATCAACAGAAAATATTTATAAATTAAGATTTCTTTCACATAAAAACTACCAATGGGAGAAAATGTCAAAATATTTGAGTTTATGGGGTGCAGGGAGGTGCCCTAAAAATGAAAAGGTCTTTTAAAATATGCCTCAGAAAATGAAAGTTCAATTGGAAAAGTGCTCTGTGAAGACAGTTTATATTACAAAACCAAAACAACTCACTCCTGATAACAAGGCAGACGTAGCTTATTCAGTTTCATGCCAGTTTACACAAGAAAGAGTAAACAACAGAAAGCAAGCTGATGACAGATGACATCATGTGAAACAGAGACAAAAGAGAAAAATAGAGTGCAACACATGCTGCTTGTGTTGTGTTTTGCCTATAATGTTAATTAGTAGATGCCTCAAAATAGATGTGGAAACCTGAGAATAATAATAATATTGTACATTTGAAGTTTTTACAGAATAATGCAGAAGGAGAAAAAGATGAATGTTATTTAAAGCTGTTTGTTTCATGATAAGCAAGTAGAGAAGAGAAAAAGGGTGTCATTTGTTTTATAAGGTTTTAGCTTCATAATTAATAATACAGTAATTGTGTTTTGAAAAAGAGGGTATAAAATAGCATATATTTTGCGTCAGAACTCAGCTCTTCGCCATCACCTTGAAGGAAGGAAGAAGACTCCAAGGATTCAACTGCCTTCCTCTCTTAGGATTTCCTCTTTCTCAGTCAGGTTAGGGGCTTGACTCCCTAAGTTGGATAGAGTTATTCTTCCCCGTAGGGATCAAGTTCAGAACTTAGGAGTGCTCCTACATCTGGTCCTTTCATTGTAACAATAAATATTGGCAGTGCATAAGTTGGCTTTTAACCAACCTAGGTTGATTATGCAATCAGTGATGATGTTGATCCATGCACTGGTGGTCTGTGGGTGGTGGTGGTTCACGAGTTAATTTTCTTCTTCTTCCTTTGATTTTAAACTGCCGAGAGTAGTGTTTGGTACTAAATCAGGCAATATATAAGCATTTGAAATGTACATACATACATACATACATACATACATACATACATACATACATACATACATACATACATACATACATACATACATACATACATACATACATACATACATCTGCATGTAAACCTAGATGTATGAGGGGGGAAATAGAAATGAATGATGATCTTCATAAACTTTATAATTAACAGCTCGTATAATCTGTCGTAAGTTATAAAGTCTAGCAAGTTGTTGTTGTTTTTCCTTTATGGGAATTTTCACTTCATTTTTTTGTCAATGTGATGTCCAATAATTCACAGAATTCAGAATTGAAACAGGCAGAATGTCTATGAAAGATTGGCCAATACCACAAGAATCTAAAGCACTGATTAAATTTAAACCACATAGTCACAAGACCTGGAGTGTTGTCATCTTCATGGCCTAGGCACAAACAGACGAAGCTTTTGAGTGTGTAGTGTCTCATAAATGGCAACAAGAAATTCAGCACAACAGTGGTAACAGCTGCTATGCAAGTCAAACAAACATCTTGCTTCTAGACATTTTTAGTGAAATAGGTAAAGGTAAAGGTAAAGGTTCCCCTTGACAATTTTTGTCCAGTCGTGTTCGACTCTAGGGGGCGGTGCTCATCCCCGTTTCCAAGCCATAGAGCCAGCGTTTGTCCGAAGACAATCTTCCGTGGTCACATGGCCAGTGCAACTTAGACATGGAACGATGTTTACCTTCCCACCGAGGTGGTCCCTATTGATCTACTTGCATTTGCATGCTTTCGAACCGCTAGGTTGGCGGGAGCTGGGACAAGCGACGGGAGCTCACTCCGTTGCGTGGATTCGATCTTACGACTGCTTGGTCTTCTGACCCTGCAGCACAGGCTTCTGCGGTTTAGCCCACAACGCCACCACGTCCCTTGTAAATAGAACATTGTTGAAATAGAACATTATTGAAAAGTTGTGGAAGATGTCCCAGTTCTTGTAAATGTCACACTGCCATGAAGGGTGATCCTCAGAGAAAAGGTGGTGCTTTTTGCCTCTGTAGTTCCCAGTTCCATGTTTTCTTGTCGCAGGAATGCTTGATGCCAGGCCAGGCCTTGTAGCTGCTGCCCATCCTTCAAGGGCAAAGTAAAAGTCTAGTGCTAATCTTGAAAAGCAGATGTAAATCTAAAGGAAGCAAGGACCTTCCGGTGCTTCTCTGAAGGGAATTCTTTCTAGCCCCCACTGTGAGGGAGCAAGGCAGAAAAAAACCTTCTCATAACCCCCCGGGGTGGGGTTGGGGGACCTCGCCAGGCCTTCTTCTAGCTGTCATTCACAAGAATCAGGGAAAGTGTCTGGCTGTGGACATTCATGGCCCCATGGCACTATTGGCCCTCCTTCCCCCCCCCTCTTTTTGACTGAAATGGTTGCTGTGTAGTATGCTTTGTGACAGGCCAGTTAGTCTGCTCATTTTAGGTGCATCCATCCACCCTTAATTAATTATATGTATCAAGGAGACGCCAGGCCAGGCCAGACAGCTGGAGCTCTGTTTTGACAAGGAAACTGGGATGCTGCTTCATCCAATGATAGCATCAGTCATGAAGCTTGTTGACCCTGAGAGGTTATTTTTCTCTCTTTTTCTGATAACCACATTCATTTTCCCTGCCACCTAGCAGTCTGCTAGGGGAGAAATATCACTCTACTCTTGCCATAGGAGGGAAGCGTTCACCTGAAAGGGGTGCATGTGTGAAATCAGGCTAAAGACTCCATGAAATAAAACTAAGCACCCACATAGTTAATCTGAAAGTTTGCTGTTATGTGCCAAGAAGTTGGAACCAATTTATAAAACAGGTCTCTAAAGGTAAGTGAGACATTTAAGGAGTGGCTTTACCAGTTCCACACCCCGTATGAGTTTTCATGGCTGAGCAGGGATTTGAACCAAGGCCTGACTAGTCCTAGTCTGTCATTCTTTCCACTCCATCACACTGGGTATCCAGTCTGAAAGTTACGGGTTGCCTATTTGCTAAACGCAGAGGCTGACTAATTAGATTTAGTCTTGTTTTTATATGACATCAAAAGAACATTTTAAATTATAGCTTTTTTCAATGTCAGGAAAGGGTTAATATCAGGAGACAGCTAGTTAGTGATGCCAGTGCTGCAGCAGGGGCTGCTCCTAGGTATTAGCTAATCAGGCTCATTCAAGGATTTTTAAACCAACGAAACAGAAGAAAAGCTGTCTTTATTCTTTGTCTGGCATGGAGCACAGTGGACTGCCAGACACCTGGGCCTTTGCCAGAGCCATAGCCAGTGGCAATAGGTACAGGAATCAGGAGAAGCCTTACAGTCATTAGTAACTTAGGGACCCATCAAATTTAGCCTTGCCATGTGTAACTGTGTAAACTACAGCAGCAAATTGCCACTAATTAATGAGTTATTGATTGTGTTCTTGGTTGTATGCCAAGTTGTTCAATTTGAAGCAGCAGGAATGTGAACAGCTGTTTGTTAGCTAGTGACATTTTGCTGCTGTGGCTTACACAATTTCACTCACACTGGCATAAATCTCCAGTAGGATTCTAACCATTGTGTGACAATATTTTTTGGTTCTACTGACTGTTGAGTTTGTATCTTCCCCCACCCACTCAAATACCCCTTATGGACCAGCACGACGGCATTTGCCTTTTTGCTTATGTTTAGATTTGCAGGATGTTTCTCACCTGACAGCTGTTTCAGCCAGGTCAGATTGTCCAGGGATTGTATCAGTCCCTGCCTGCAAAGTCTTGAAGGTGCTGGCGACATCCAGGGAAGATGGTTGGGTAGCACAGCAGTGTATTGGGGGTGAGTGGGTGCAACTCAGCGTACACTGAAGAAAATATGTGGCTCTGTCCGGGGAGGAGTACATAGCGACACAGTGAAGGTACTCCTGTGGTTTCCTAAGCTGCCCTTTACGGGCTCTGACCTATAATGATCTTGTTTCACTCTAGAGCAGTGGTTCCCAACCTTGGGACCCCAGATATTCGTGGACTAAAACTCTCAGAAGCCTTCACCAATAGCTGTGTTGATCAAGATTTCTGGAAGCTGTAGTTCAAGAACATCTGGGGACCAGAGGTTAGGAACCACTGCTGATATCATTAGGGTTGTTGATACCCCTTCCTTCCCTTCTCATATGTTCCTTTTTTATCCTCTCTGCGAGAGGACAGGGAGATGCCTTTGTTCTGGAGAAGGTGGGGCAGCTGTGGCTCCACATATTTCCACCACAATTAGTTGGAATCAGGATTGCTATTATCTTCTCTACCTTGCTGTATTTTTTTTAATAAGCAATAACTTCCTTATCTCTTAGATTAAGAAGTGTGAACATAGTTTCATTCCAAAGAAGAAAGCATGGCCAGCTTCCTTTCTGATGTTCAAGGGCTGCATCCACCAACTGACTTTGCTTCTGTTTACTCTGCTAACAGAAAGAAGGCTTGCTTTCTTAGCAGGGATCTCAGTTCTCACTTAGCCGTACATGAAATGAGAAGCAAGATGTTATGAGAGGTGGTGGTGGTGACATTCTGGCTATGATGGAAATGTACCGTGCAGCTCAAGCAAGAGAGTAACGGGAGTTTAAAAGCATGAAACAAGTTTTGCCCAGTTTTTCCCTTCCTGCACCCACTACCACACAGGAATGAGAGATACAAGCTGCTTCACTTCCTGTTTCTGTTGGAATAACTGCTGCTGTAGCTGAAAAGGGTGAAACCCTTTCGTCCCACCCACGTGCAAGGGCTCCCTGATACATTGACATGATGACATCACCACCTGCCAGGAAGCCCTTGTGGCTTTGTCTCTGCAGTGAAACACCTGCCCACATAGTTTTCAGAGATATTGCTGTGCTGCTCTGTTTCAGAAGCAGAAAAAACAAAACAATAACAACATTATTGTACCGCCTTTGAGACTAACGAATATATTTCTGTGTGAGCTTTCATGGATACAATTAATTTCTTCCAATGCAGAAGGTGTATGTCTGAAGAAATAGATTATACCCCCAAAAACTCATGCTGAATTAAATTTGCTAATCTGAAAGGTGCCAAAATATTGCTGGGTTTGTTTCAGTTCCATCTTTGCCATTTCTGCCTACAGACCTTGGAAGCTTGTGGAGGACAGTAAAGAGGAAATGACTGTTGGCAAGGTGGAGCCACATGACACTTTCTGATCGGATCAAATGTCAAGGCACATATTATTTCATCATTTGAAGCATCAGATATGGCAAATAATGCCAAGCTATCTCACATCTGACCAATTATGAAAAAAAGGCCAAATGTGGACTGAGGTCAGCTCATGTTACTATATACAATCTCATGTTAAAGGTGCACTGCTTCTAGATACAGAATCTCATCTGAGTCGTCTTCTGGCGTTATAACTTCTGGATTGATGTACATGCCTAGAGGAGAATACTTGCATGTAGAAAAACAGTTTTCCAGAGTTTTTGTTTGTCTACATGTGACCAGACCCTTCTGCTCTTCAGAGTCATTGCTGCTTGCATGAGGAAAGGGATGATGGAGAAAGAG